TATCAAAATTGTCTTACTAAAATCCTTGATCTGATTCAAATACGTGTTTTACTCTAATAAGATAAATCTTTGACAAAAATGTAACAAGACTTTTAATAAGGAATAAATCGTTTATGCATTTTCAAAAGCAATCTTTTGTTTGAGAAAAAATGTTTTAGATCTACATTAAAAACCCTTTCTATTTAAAAATATGTTTGTCACCATAAAAATGGGGAGATTATTAAGTTAAACGATAATGTTAAATCCCTTAGCTATAAAGTTTTAATGAGAACAAACATAGACGCTTTTAGAGAAAAGTTTTTAAATCATTCAATAAGATGAATGTTTTGTATAAGACAAATGCATTAAGGTGATTCACTATCTTGACATAAGTGTGTAATAGACAAAATATTTCATCTGTGAAGCATTTATTCTGAATTACTATCATTTATGATGTTTGATAACTAAATCAATCTTTGTGTATATTATTCCTTAACAAGTCAAAGCAAAATAACTTCCTCAATACCCACAATGACAAAAGAGAAGGAAGACATGTTTTTTTATTAGAAAAAGACAAGTAGATCTCGTGAATCATAGAAATCCTCTGAAAAAGTTGTTTTAAACTGATACATGCATGGCTCCACTTGTTCGGTACCTTAAAGGTGATAAGTAACTTCCTTAATTAGATAAGAAGTGACAATTTGATAAAACACATTTAATGCAAGCAATTAATGCACCAACAAACATTGCTCTCCACAAGGAATGAAAAAAATCCAAGACAAACGAAATAAGCCTGTGAGAGACACTCAAGGATTGATAATGATTATCTTCATTAAAGCCTTATGAAAGGAAGTTTGAAAAAAAAAAAAAAAAGAGAAGACACATATATTGTCAAAATTAAATTCATTCTTTCTGTTAAAAGACTATGTACTTAATTAATTGTATCACATTTTAATAATAAGACAAAACAATACTCTTAATTTACTCAACTTTAACTTTATGTTATTGTTTTAAATATGAAGAAACTTGATTATAAAAAAAATATGTAGTTGTTTGAATCTTTGAGAGAGTTGACTCTAAAAGAAGTGAAATTTTTTTATAAATACTATTTAACTCCATTCTAATATGTTTCTTTTCTCCACACTATTTATACAAGAAAAGAATATGTATTTAAGGAAAACGAAAAGGTTCTCCGAAAGGCTCGAGACGCCTTTCATGGACACAATTTATTGTGTTTAAAGCACAATCAACTTGAAGAGGTGAATGCCTACAAAAACAACTTTAGATGTCATGACAACCACTCATTGTTTAGACTCACATGTGCTCATGACTCCATGTTTTGAGTTCACATGTTTAGTGCCTGTTTTCGAAAAGTATGCGCGATAAGTCGGACGATGTGATATAGGCTTGTCGAATAATAGCACCACGAGGAAAATAATCTATAGTTACGTATTATTCTTCCAAACATAATAATTGTAGATAAAACAAAAAATTATTTATATCTAAATATTTAATTAGTATAAATAAAGAATAAATACTTATACTTTTAGCTATTTATTGTTCATTAAATTTAAAAATGAGTTGTTATACACCTCATATAATGAATTATTAGACCATTTAATGTAAAATAGGTATTTTTAATTTTATTGGTAATTTTGTTTATCTAATATTACAAGTAAATTTTCTTGTAACGAAACAAATTTAACTATCTTATTATTTTGATCTGAGCAATATTTTTAGGGCACCAATTAAAACAATTAATAGTTATCGTTAATATACTCCACTGTAATTTCTAGCGAATACATTTTCAATGTAATTTTTAATTAAAAAATATTATTAATTTCTTTATCAGTACTCCAACACCGGTTAATATTATTTTTCTTTTGAATTGAAAAACAACTTATTATTTTATCTATTTTTATCTTTAATATTTGAATAAAATTATTTATTTAGCCTATTATAAATATCACATTATTTATTCTACTCAAATTTTTCTTTTAATATTGAATTAATTATTTTAATAATTAAACTAATAACATTTCTAATTTTTAATATAATATTTTTAAAAATAATATTGAAAAATTGACTAAAAAACCAAGTATATATAATTACTTAAAAAACACATTTTTCTACAAAATCAAGGTTATATTAACAAGAATATATATATATATATATATATATATATATAT